CACAGCAAAGGAAACAATCAACAGAACTAAAAGACAACTTACAGAATGGGAGAAAATACCTGCAAACTATTCATGCAACAAAGGCTTAATATTCAGAATTTATAAGGAATTAAAAAATAGATCTACATAACCAAAGATCTATATAATCATATCTTAAAAGAAGACATACAAGTGACCAGCAAACACATGAAAAAACATTTGCCCTCACAGATCACCAGGAAAATCCAAGTGAAAATCATAATGAGGTATCACCTCACTCACTAGGAGGACTGGACTATCACTATACTGCTGATTAGGATGCAATTAATATAACCACTGTGGAAAGCAGCATGGCCAGTCCTTAAAAACTAAACATTCAACACCATATGACCCAGCCATTCTGCTACTGGGTGTCTAATGCCAAAGACATACTTGTGCTCCATGTTTACTGCGACATTATTCACAACAGCTGAAACGTGAAATCAGTCTCCCACCAGTCAATGAATGAATGAATGAAGTGTGTTACATTTTCACTCATTTGTGGAAACTAAAATGCCAATCTGGTGACAAATGGAGCTGAATGTGGCCTGCAGAGACAGGGAAGGAAAGAGCGGAGGGGAGATGGAAAGAATTTAAACACAGAGCAATGAAACAAGAGGAGGAAGTACTCTGATTTTCTGTAACACAGTAAGGTAATTATTGATCAAGCAATCTATGACATATTTTAAATGACTACACAAATATGAAATTCTCAACACATAAAGTCATTAAAGTTTGAAGAGATGGCAATTATTACCCCAGTTTGTGTACACATTATATATGCATACTGCATCACCATAATGTATTTTATAAAGATGTACAAATATTATCTCTCAAAAAATAAAAAGAAATGACTTACATGTCGGTTGAAAACTTTGAAGCGTTTTGTGTCAGTACTGGGGATTGAACCCAGGTCCCCAACATATGCTAGGCAAAGGCTCTTACCACTGAGCTACATTTCTCCAGGCCCTGCGCAGAAAACATAAGTCAAGATGTGTATTTTTATATTTTTATTTCTTATCTAATGTGAGCTTTACTTGACTTCCTGTCTTAACATTCCATTGCTCTATGTTCTAAGATCAGGAATGTGGGGCAAAGGGCTCTTCATCTCCTAGCAGGGTTCCATCATTAGAGACTGATGGAGAAACTGCTCTCTCCACATGCCCAGGAAGGAAAAGGGGTCAGGATGAAAGGGCTGAATGGGCATGGTATTAGGTAAAGCACAATAAAAATGAACAAAGAAGTCTTTCTTCATACATGACTGCAAGAATCAGAAAATATTGTTCAGATGAAATTACTACCTCAAAGGAAGTTTTAGATACTGCCAAATTTAAATGTGACGTCTGGTGCCCTCTCCTGGAAAGCACGGGAACCAGTCCATGCCTGAGCTAAGAAGTTAAGAGGCTGGGCCTGGGTCACACCCAGGAGACTGTTTTCACTACAGCCTGACCTTTCCTGCCTGTCCTGTGAGGATCTAAGAAGACTCCTGGAAACGGCTGGCTGCATCCTGTGCTGCCCCCACGCTTCATACACATGTGGTTCCAGAACCCATCCACAGGTTGTAATGTATCAGTTTGCCATAATCTCCGCAGCTAGTAGGTAGCAGGAGCTGTTTTGCCTTTTTGTATTCTCAAAATAAGCACAGTGTTTGTCGTGGAATAGCTTCTCCATAAAATGTCAGTTGAATGTGAAAAAAGAGACACCCCTCAACTCCCCACCCCTCCTTAACCATCCCTACCCCACATACTGGGGCCTCCACACCTAGCTACATTCCCAGTCCTTTATTTTTTCATTTTTTCTTATTCTGAGTAGGGTCTACATCTCTAAATTGCCCAGGTTAGGATTGCATTTGTGATCCTCCTGCCTCAGCCTTCCAGATTGCTGGGATTGCAGGCATGCACCGCCACACCTGGCTAGCTTTAATAAATTTGTAGAACCAGATGGCAAGACAACCCACAAAGGGAAACTGGATATCCCACAGTTTACTAGTCTTTGAGCTCCACTTAGAGACCTTAGGATGCACACTCTGGACCCAGTCATAATGGGGAGTGTGACTGCTATGTACCATAAGGGAAAATCACCTATGTGGCAAGCTGACCTCCTAACATTACCCAAAGGACTCAAATTCACTCAAAGGACATGGAGCTGAGGCATGGGCTAGCATACAGGTGGGCAGAGAGCATGCTCCAACTATCAAGTGACAGCTGCTGCTTGTAGCTCAGTGCTAGCCCCATAGACCCTGATGGGAACCGCAACTTCTTCCTCAATCCCTCAACAGATACCCACTTACAGCAGCCCCAGGGCCCTCAACTCTGGATGCACAGCAGCATCACTTGGAAAGCTTTCTGAGATCCTGACGCATAGGCTGCACCCCAGACCAATTAAATTATTGCCCCTGGGGTTGCAGTCCAGCTTCAGTGTCTTTGAAAGCTGCTAGAAAGGGATCTGGGAGTTCAGGGTGAGACAGCAGGGAGGAGAAGTCAAAATAAAAGGGATCAAGGTGTAATGTGTGGGCCAGGGATTTAGCTCAGTGGCATAAGAGCCCTCCTGGCAAGCACGAGCCCATGAATTCAATGCCAAAAAAAAAAAAAAAAAAAAAAAAGGATGTCATGTGTATATGTACCAATTCTCCATGATGAACGTTATTATCACAAACATACTGATAGAAAAAAATTTGAAGCACCCAGATGTGTTATTTCTCTAAGGCTGCTGTAATAAACTACCACAAACTTATTGACTTAAGACAATACAAATTATCTGGTAGTTCTGTCCTTCACAATCCATGGGTCTAAAACCAAGTTATTGGCAGAGGGTGCCCCCTGCTGGAAGCTCTGTTTGGGTACCTTTTCCCCTAGAAACACCTGTCAGTGGTCTTAATCTTTTCCAGTTTCCCCAGGCTGATCCTGTTCCATGGACAGTCACCAGCTTCCTGCCACTTCCCAAAACAGCAACAATTGGAGAAGTCTTCTTCACATTCCTCACCCCAATAATCCATGGCAATATCCCTATGTTAAAGACATCTGATTAACAATAGCATATCCACCTGCTGCATTGATTCCCCTTTGCTGTGGAAGGTAACATATTCACAACTTGTTGGGGTTAGGGCATGGACATCATTGAGGGACCATTATTCTGTTTATCATATCAAGTGACTCCAAGGAGCAGCTAAGGATGAGAACTCCTGGTCTCCCCATAAAAGCCAGAGTAGGGAAGTGGCCTGGTTAGTGTACTGAGCCATGACAGCCTGAAGCACAGAAACACTGGTGTGGCCATAGGCTAGGACAAGCAGGCAGCTAAAAAGAAAGCCAGTCTCGCCGATTTTACACTGTTGCAGAACTTGCTTAGTGGGCACTAAGTTATCACATGATTTATTCTCACTGTAATTCCCTGCAAAGTTAAATCATGCTCTCTCTCAAGAACATAGGACTACCTCTACTCAGCTGTAATCATTATAGTAAGTTGAGACCAAAATACAGTGTATTTTTTCAGATTTTTATGACCTGTAGCTATGACCTGTGCTCATTCTGGCTGGGTGTGGGCCAAGGCACCCTACAGCTCTGTAGGTCACCTACTATAGAAGACGAGACTCTAGCCAAGTTGAATATGGCTTGAAGATGTGCTTTCTCTGGCCAACATTTGAATCTCACACACTCCATTTAACGACTTAGGCACAAGGGGAGAGCATTCCTCTCTGTTCAGCCTCAGCTGCTAAAAAGTTGTTGCCTTTTGAGTGGGGCTTTATTCTCTGCTTTGCCTCCTCACCTCTCACTCTAGCTGATTTTTAAGTTAGGCAAAATTCTCATACAGGTTCGTCTCCTTGTTATTAAAAGTGAACAGCTCTCTAGGGTAAGGATGGGGTACAGGCCACTGACTATGCACACAAAACCTTGCCCGCACGCCTGCAAAGTGCCCGAGGAGAGTTGGATTATTCTGTCAACAGCCTGCAGCTGGTGACCAGCAATCTCCACTGATAGACATCCTTTTTGGGGAGACTGCCTGTGTTAGCCAGCTTTCCATTACTACATCTGAACCCAAAAAAATTAGAGGAAAGGTGCAACGTGGCAGTTTTGGTCTATGGCTGGGTAGCCCCATTGCCGCTGGGCCAGCGGTGAACTCATGGGGCAAGATGCTCACCTCATGCAGCTGGGAAGCGAAAACCTAAGGAAAAGGTTCAAGGGCCCACCCCCAATAACCTCACTGCCTGCCTTTAGGCCCTAACCCGGAAAGGTTCTACCACCTCTCAATAGTGCCACAGGCTAGGGGCGAATCCTGCATCACCTTTGGGGGACATTTAACAACCCACACTGTAACTTCTGCCTATCGGTCCTTCTTTGGCCTTCAGAGGCACAGGTCACTCTTCTTTTGCATTGTCTCAAAAATGTTTAGGGCAACTGTTACCCCTAAGCACTTCCTTCTACCTTAAAAGTGAACAGATACAAGTACCAACAAACCTGTAATCCTGAAACCACTAAGATGCTTGGTAACTTTTCATCATTGTAATTCTCCAACCTGGCTGAGGCACCCAGATGTGCTGCTCCAAACTCCACACAGCACCAGAGGCTGTGAGCACGGAGAGGCAGATGAGCTCCTGACTCACACCCTGTGCCTCTGGAACCTGCCCTACCACTGCGTTACCTCATAGGATAGAAAGCCAGAGGGGCCGCCTTACTTGATTCCAGAGAAGAACCTTTCCTGGAACAAGACCACCTATTTCTAACACCCAAGATCTAAACACACTACAGTCACACACCTCCTTAACTGACCTGGTTTTGCCAGGATGACAACCTACCATGGGAATATGCTTTATGTCAAGACTAGAGTCTAAAGGACCAGGTTGGTACCTGATGACAATGTCTGTTTTCCTTGGCTCTGCTTAAATGAGGCCTGAAATAAATACAAGATGAAATCCAACCCAATATTAGAACAGTTGGTTTAATGGTCTCAATAAACACATATAATTAATACTTCTGGCTCAAGTGAGGTTTGGGGTCAGAGTTTTGGTTTATTTTTTATCTCAGATTAAATGAGATAATATAGTACAACACTGAGTATAGTGCCTGGAACATGTTAATTTTTTATTACTAATCTGTGTGTTTAAGGTTTTGTTTTTATTTTTTGCTATTTTTAAGCATGTTTACTTCCACTACAGCTCTTTACACAGTCTGGCGTGTAACTGTCACTTAGTAAATGTGAGTAAACAAATACCAGAGACTTTCGTCTGCCAAGTCTGACATACACAATGATGGAAACAGCTATCCAAATCCCCATCACTGAGAACATACAAACGCCTTAGCCTATAACATCTGGATAGTTAAGGTAAGCTTCTGAGTAGGTTAACACATTCCTAAACTTGTGACAATTTTGATGACAGTTCCATCTGCAAGGAGACAAACAGTAGATGTTCTTGAAAATCTGTCTGCTTCTACAGAAAGGCCACTTAGTCTTTTGGCATACAGTCTTTGCTATCTCACTTGGGCTGCTTCCTACCAAAACAGAAAGGGAAAAAGCAAACACAAAGCAATAAATGACAGATGTAATCAAATCGGATTGTCATTGGTCCTAAGGAGTTTGGCACATATTTCTTGAGACATGCAGTGTCTGCTAGGAGTTCCAACAAGGAAGCCTCTGCAGGGACATGGTATAGGAAACAAACATGATCAACCCAAGTAACACTGAAAAGGACAGAATGGGAAGGACTTTATTCCCCAGATCTTCAGGTAATCTCACCCCTGCTTGAGTCTACAGGTAGTAGAGTATGAAAGCAAAAAAAATACAACTTTTAAAAAAGTAGGTCTTCAATTTTTGCCAGGTCAGGAGTCCAGGGTCAAGTCAGGGCAGGAAGCTTAGAGAACAGCATGGCCTCAGCGATTATACAATCTTCACCATCTTGAGCATATCTGACAGGACGTATGTGTCATCCCAGGCCCCCCCAGGCTTCCTTAGGGTCCGCTCCAAGGCCTGGGCCATTTCTAGGAGCGCTGGTGTGGCAAGCTTCTGCTCAGGATGCAGCTGGCAGAACAGGATCTCATTCACTTCTCCTTCAATTCGCCGAACGTATAGGAGAGGAAACACTGCCCTGAGTCCAGCCAGCACCGAGTCCTTTAGCCCTAAGTCTCGGCACACCAGGTTCAGGATAAAAACACCTAGAGGGTGGGAAAGAAAGAGTCAGACTGACCGCAGATCAGGAGGCGTATTGGAGACAAGGATCAGGTATCTCTAAGGGGAAGGCCAATTTCTGTTCCAGAGAGGCTGGGGACTAAGAAAACATACCTATAGCAGCACCAAGGTTACAGAGACCACACGGCATGCAAAGGCAAAAAGAGAACAGTGCAGGGATATGAGCCACAAGAAAACTTCAGGTTTATCTGAGTCTTCTCTGCAGCAAACACATTACCATTCTATTACATGCCTTTTTCCCAGAGTGGTTCTGAGAAAGAAGTAATATCCCCAAGAAAGAAAATTCCACTAATCCCATAAGGATGTTATGTTCTTGATATATACATCAGAGTCTCTCTTAACCAATGAGAAGACCAAACTTACCTTGTTATCTTGCAAAAAAGCTTCTAACTCAACCCAGCCCACTCCAGAATCTTACATCAAAGCAAAGCACTTAGTGGATTCCAAACATAGGATCAAGTCCAGCTTTCAAGTGACAAAGACAGGGCTGAAGTTCTGACTGTTACCACATGTCACCCTGGCAAGTCTTCTTGACCTCAGTTTCCTCATCTAAAAATGAGCTACTATGAAGATTAAATAACACATGGCCCAGTGCAGGACCTACAGGGAGCATTCAAGTGGTAGCCTCTGTTACCATGCTAGTTGGAATGTGAATGGTTATGACCCCTTTGTAAAACTATGTGGCAGAATCCATAAGAGCTGAGCAACCATGTAACTTATGATCTAACAGTTAGGACCCTATGAAATATGCAATATATTTCACCAAATGTTCTACTGCTGGTAATGGCAGCACTGCACCCAATGCCCCCAGAGGAAACAACTCCAAAATTAGTAGTGATAATGGGTATATTAATGGTGCTGCACTCACACAACATGAACAGCAGTTAACAATGAACAATGTAAAACACAGTACTGTGACTGAATCGCACCTTAACGCAAAAAAAAAACCAAAACCACACACACACTTGAAGAGTGTATGACATGGTTCCGTCTATATAAGACAAAAACAAGCAAAATTAAGCTGTGATGACAGAGCTAATGTGGTGATTAACTTTGGGAGGAGGAAGAGTTACTGAAAGGGGGTAAGAGGTAAACTTGGAGAATGCAACAAATGTTCTGCGTTTGGTCCCGCTAAACACATGTATTCAATTTGAAAAACTGATCAAGTTATACATACTTACATATGTATTTTTTACTAAAGATAAAAAAATTTTAGAAGCTGCCTCCCTCCTCCCTCTCCAATCTTTAGTTCTCCATACCTTCATCTGCCAAGATGCTTTTGACTTTCTGCAGGAAAAGCTGGTCCACAAATGCTGGGGGTGGACAACTCATTCCCAGTGTTGGGTCCTTACTGTCTACATCAAACATGATGACATCATAGTGAGTCCGTGCTAGGAAAGAAAAGCAAGTAAGTGCTTGTCTTTGCTGAATAAAGTAACTCATTACATCCCTACACCAGGCCTGCTCTGAGACCTGCAGTAGACAAGGGTGGCAAAGTCAGAAGCATGACTTGGGGAATGTGGTTTGTCTGTTAAGGACACTGATGTCACAGTCCAGGACAGTCTTTGTTTTCAGCTTAAACTGTCCTACAATAAGGATGAGACCTTCCCCTACATTTAAAAGTAACTTCCAAAGGCATGTGTGGGGCCCAGTCTAGAAAGAATACTACGTGCAGAGCATTAGAATCACCTTGAAAAGTTTCTGAGCACTTAAGAGAATGTGGGCTCCACTCCCAATCAATTATGTCAAAGACCCTGGTACAACAGGCAGGAGGGGAGATGGAAGACTCTTGACATTTTTCTTCAGCTCCCCAGATGATTCAAAAGGTACAGAGTTGAGCAAGGCGCATGCCTGTAATCCCAGCCCTCAGGAGGCTAAAGCATGAGGATTGCTGTAAGTTCCAGGCCAACCTAGAGGATACAGTGAATTCAAGGCCAGCCTGAACTACTTTATTAAGACCCTGTCTCAAAAAAACCAACAACAACAACAAAAAAAAAATTACAGAGTTGCGAATCACTGATCCAGACAAAACAGCTGCCTGGGCCTTTAAGAGCTGACCCAGCAAATGATAACCTCAACTCTGGAAATAGCACATGTTCCCTCATAGGAAAAAATGTCCTGAAACCCGAGTTAGTGTATCTTTTCTACTTCAGAAAGACCTGGCTCGAAAAAGAAAAGAGAATGCTGCATGAGCAAGCTGTTGACCTGAATCTGCTCCTTCCTATAACATTACGTAGTTTTTACAAAGGAGAAGCCTACAACGCCACTGACATGTTTCTAGCAAACTCTAAGACTGTGCTAATGATGATTCAGTAATAAGTACTTCTTCAGGACCATGCATGCCTGTTACTATTCACAGAGCAGATGTAATTGTGGAGGTTTTGGTGCACGTCTGCACATGAGTATGTAGTTTGTCTGGTGTGCTGGAGACTAGACACACTAGGTAACTGCCTACCACTGAGCTACACTACTATGCCTGATTTTGGTTTCTTAATAAGAACACATGCAGGCTCACCAAAGTCCAGGGAAAAAGATGGCCCACATCTTTATCCTTGAGTCCTCTAATAACCTGAAAGTTGTGATAGCTAAAGAAGATGGCTAGGACTATTCAAAACCTACCCATAGATAATAACAGCAGCAGCACTATGATTCGTTAAATATCCACCACATGTCTGGCACAATGGTAAGTTCCTAGACACGTCAGCTGCTCTTAATGAGGAAATCTGAAAAATTGATCTGGCTAAATTGTCTACAATTGTCTAAATTAAAATCAAGGCTGCCATCTGTCCACTCCAGTCCCAAACACACCTGCCAGGCTTGCTTGCTTGCTGCACCATTCCTGGAAACATTCTAGTTCAGGGAAAAACAGAGTACCTGTTACTGAATGAGCAGACCACAGAATGCAGCCTGAGCACAGCAAAACTGAACCAACCTGACTTTGCTGAGGGACCAAAGACACTAGGAGCCTTTGTATACAGAGTTGCAAAAACAGCAGAACATTTGCCTCTATTATTTTTCAAAAATTAATATGCCTTTTGTTCTAAGTCTACAGTACAAATCATTATAGCAAAATGTTACTATAATTCTAGTAGCAGGAAGGCTATCAGAAATCCCAAAAAGTAACATCTTCCTCAGAGTTTCTCAATCTTAGTACCACAGATAATTCTTCATCATCAGTAGCTGTCCTGTGCACTGGAGATGTTTAGCAGCATCTTTGGCCTCTCTCCAGCAGATACCAATGGCATGGGCCCCACATACAATTCCACGACACCCAAAAATAGGTCTGCAGACAAATGTCCCCTGAGGCTAACAATCACAGATCTACATAAATGTGGTTTCATCGTATTTCTAACTTCACATTCAGCCAACTGTTTATAAGAAACACCTCCCAACACACACACATCTTTTCTTCCCTGTCCTGCACCTAGCTATAGACCTCCTCAGCTTCCTTGGCAGGGTGAAGCAGCAGCAAGTCTGTTTTATTTGTTGCTCAGCACAGCCCTAAGGAGAGAGTTAGCACTCTATGTTTATTGTGTATGAACAGACTGGAATGGTGCTGATGCCTCCTTGTAGAAATGAACTTTAGGGGTCCCTGTGGGCCTAACATCTTTGGGACAGACCCCACCCCATCCCTCCCCCAGATGCAACCACAGTAGTACCTTCTCCTCCTGCCAGGCTGGTAATGTAGTCCAAGCCATCTGCAATGTGGACTTTCATCCGGTCACTTTGGGAGAAGCCAAACCACTGAGTGGCCACTTCCAACATGCAAGGGTCAATCTCCACAGCGTCAACACGAGACTTGGGGAAATGATCATGGACAAAGAGAGGGAGGCTGCCCCCACCCAGGCCCACTACCAACAAAGCCAGTGGGGTCTCTGTAATAAAAGAAGAAAGCATTACTTTGTTTTGTTTTGTTTTGTTTTTTTGTCTTTTTCATTTTTATCGGTACCGGGGATCGAACTCACGACCGCCTGCTTGCAAGGCAGGTGCTTATGCCGCCGAGCTAAATCCCCAGCCCCTAAGAAAGCATTACTTTGCCATCTGCTCACTGTAAAGTTTTACAACAGCCTCTGGGAGGACAAAAAAGTTAGACTGTTAGCTCTGCTTGAGGACACAAGATTTAAAGATCTGGCCTCCCTATCTCATTGCAAAAATGCAGGAGTTAAATGAAATTTGAAAATTCAACTTTGGCTTCATGCTGTCTAGATCCAGAAGACAAACAAAGGTGTTGTTATTATTGTCCTTTAACGATCCTGAAGCACTCAGGTGACATAGCATCAAGAGTACCATAAAAGTCCCATCCCCAAAAATGGAGAAGGAATGGCCAAGCAACTTTATTCATGAGTACAAGAAACTACAGATGCAATGCCCCTCACTTGGCTCTTGATTCAAAAAGCCATTAACTGCCTTCTATGACACACCTACCAGGTGAGGCCAGCCCATCTAGGTTCCATAAACCACAGGAAAACAAGGCCCCAGCCCTAAAGGAAAAACCATAGCAAGCACAGGGAGACTGAAGGAGACAAGAAACAAAAGAATCGCTAAAAAGAAACAAGGTCAGATTAAATCTAAAAACTGAGACCCTGGGGATGGAAACCTTGTTAATGCCAAGAAACAACAAACCCATAAGGTGCTTCAATAAGGTATACTCAGTATCTCAGGTAAAGAGATTTGTAATTGAAGGAAGAAATACAAAATATTTGCTAATGTGATCAGACCCAAGCCTGTTAAATATCGAGAGGGCAATCAGTACACTAACTATAATAAAAGATTTTTTACAGTAGAAATTCAAGATAAAATTGCGTCTCATAGTCAAAAGTCACATTATTCAAAGGCAAAAGAAATATGATATTTAAATGGACCATCTAGTTAATGTGTATATATACATGGGTGTAATAATTCATCAAGCTAAACAACTTAAAAATCTGTCCTTTACATATCTCACTGATTAATTTTATATCCTAATTTTACCCAGCCCGGGCAACCTCACAACTCTGCGAGACCCTGTCATAAAATGAAAATAAAAAAAGAGGGGAAAATGCAGCTCAGTGCAAAGGCTCCGGCTTCAATCCCCAGTGCCCTCCCCACCTCTCTCCAAAAATACTGATGCTGATTTAACTTAGAGGATAGATGAAGAAAATATGCATGTGGACTTCAGTCTAGGACCATTGTTCTCAAGCCACAAAGCAACTCACCCACTTCTGCAGTCTTACAGGCTCTCTATGTGAAGGCAGTGAGCGGTGGTTCTCTTACCGAGAAGCTGCTCTGGATTTCTCAGCAGAGCGAGGCCAGCGATCATGGCTTTATGGTGTTCACAGCACAGGTAACTCTTATCGATGGACTGCCCTGGGGCCGCAGGGAGGTCCTCACAAGTATCAACAGGCCGCTGCTTCTTCTTGTCCTTTTTCCGCTTCTTCTGGGCTAAAGGAGAGGTTCAGACTAATGAAGTGCTGTGCTTCTTACACTCCTGCTTAGAGAGCAAGAGATACCGGCAATAGCGTGCTGCCACTGCACTGACCAGACTCGAGAACCAGTGTTAAATATACAAGAGTTGTATAAACTGCTTGACATCAATCATACCAACAGCCCAGAATTAGCCGTGCAAGGAATTTTTGTATCACAGAAGTTGGCAAACTACAAATCAGATCTTCCCCTCTCCCTGAGAAGATTATTTTAACATTCACCACACACCTTGGTTTCCAAGGAGTTGAAAAAGGTGGCAAAATCACACTCAAAAATCTAGGAAATCTCAGCCAGGTGCAGTGGCACACACTTGTAATCCCAGCTACTTGGGAAGCTAAGGCAGAAGGATCACAAATTTGAGGCTGGCCTAGGCAATTTACAAAGGTCCTGTCTTGAAATAAAAAATTGAAAGTAGCTTAGTGGGAGAAATTGAGAATGTAGCTTAGTGGGAGAACACGGCCGGGTTCAATCCCCAGTACCACCAAAAAGAAAAAAAAAACCACCTTGGAAGACTCAACTGACAGGGGAACAAGACTGACTCATAAATTCTTGCACAGAAGACGCAGCGTTACTAATTTTCCCCGCTCTGTTACTGAAGCAGGACTTTTGATCTTTTTGCTCTCCCAACCCTATCTTTCCCCTTCTTGGCACAGGCGAGAACTGAACATCTCAAGAGTTAAGTCAATCGGCCCCGAATCAGTGAGTGGTGCAGACAGGCTACAGCACTGCCCTGCCGGTCACCAACACCTGCCACCTTCCCACTGTGCCACACAGACAGTGCCACGTAGCACCCTGCTGGGAAAGGAAACCGTGCAGGGCATACACCCCACAAAGAACCCCTCTGCCTTCCCGCAACTGCTCCCTCACTATCCTACTGAACAGACGGTTCTGTTCTCATAACCACCACCCGCGTTCACAGCGGCGTCCAGTACCGTGGCTCCGGCATACACCCCGGTTCTCCTCCTGTCACCCAGACTGCCTCACTGGAGACCAATCTTCCCACGGGAAGAAAGGTACACCAAGGAAAGGAACGTGACAATGATGGAAAACCCCAAAACCCAAACTGGAAGGGGAAACATGATCTGTTAAGCAATTCTACTGAGATCTAGATGAAACTGAACAAAACTGCAATCTGAGTAACCAAATATTAGGGAGCAGGCCCCAACAAACATGAGTGCATTTGACCAGACAAAAACTCTAAAGAAAAAAAATCACTCTGAGAATGCCTGATCAGGGCAAATCTGTCTCACAAGTTTCAGTTCATTCATTCCCTCTCTCTTTCTCTCTCTCTCTCTTTCTCTCCCCTCTTCCAAATGGCCCTGCTATAAGGACAATATTTTAAAGGACACAAGTGGGAATGAGAAGACTCAGTTTCTGATTCTGTCCCACAACCTCAGTAACAAAAGGAAGCTGCACTGCGGAAGACGACAAGAGCATTCCCTTTTTATTCTACACATTTTTCAATCAATTACACACCTAGCAAAAGAAACAGGTAAAACTCCTTGACTTCTCCATCAGTGAGATTCTGCACAGCATTTGGGGGATCGCATAGGGTACCTAGAGGTGAAGGTCTAGACCAGCAGTGGTAACCCCATGGCACGAGTGCTGCACCAGGCTGTTTGTGTCATCCAAAGCTCCTGAAGGTTTGCCATCACTCGTCTAAACCTATGCTGCCCAACACTGTAGGCGTCAGTCTTCTGTGACCACTTTAATTTAAATTTAACTAAAATATGATTCACTCCTTTAAGTCACACCTGCCATATTCTGCATGGTTAGCAGGTGTTTACGGCTGATGGCCACCATGCCAGCAGCCCAGACAGTGAACACTTCCCTTGTCACAGGTCCACTGCATAGCATGGTCCACGTGCTCTAAGGCATCCACCAAATCTAACACCTGTTAACACTACAGTGGAACAGGGTTCACGTGCACCCTGTTTCTGGCTCAGCTCACACAAGTCTTCCAAAATAATATACAAACACGTACACAGCAACTTGTAAAACAGATGCCCTTTTAAAACTGTGATTATCACACTTATTTGGCTTCACTGCCCTGCTCATCATTTCAGAGCCAGACTTTGCTAAGAACGGGACGAATAGCAGCACTCTGCTTATCCCCACCAGTACCCTAAGAGCCCAAAGGACAGGATACCTCTGGCCACAGGTACCAAGTCGGTCCCACATTCGGCCAAGCACCCAGGCCTTTCTGACCACCCCAAACCGAGCCCACGCCATGACATCCAGGTCCCATCGCCATGCCCGTGCCCCCTCACCTCTGTGAGACACCTCTTGCAGCAGCCTGGCTTCAGACTGCACCACATTCCTGTTGCTGAGAAAGATCAGCCGACGAAAGTATCGCCTGTCATCCCCTTGCACGTCCTCAATGACATAGTTGCCACTCAAGGGGCTGCAGTCTTGGTGCTGAATGGTCCGGACTCCGATGTCCCCACCCACAGACAGAAAGGGCACCTAAAGGTACAAAGGTACAGCCAGAGACAAGGTCAAAACACTTTCTGACCTCTGTGTGCCAATGAGGAATCCCCACGTCAAGGTTCTGGAGAATAACTCCAAAGATTTGCCATTCTATTAAAGTACTTATGGTAACTTTTGAATGGACCTTAAAAGGTTTATCATGTTTTGAAAATTAATTTAACACATAAATATGTTTATCTCCCAAACCACTGATGGTTCTTCCCAAGAATTTGTTATCAGAACCCCCAAAAGAAATCGCAATAGTCCAGGATAACAAAATCTTGAGGGAATCCTCAGAAGGACTCTAACTATGAGAAGGAATCAAAGATAATGAAATCCAAGAATAAAACCACCACTTGAAACATGGAAAAATTTCTCCCTCCCCCAAGTTCTTATCATCTTTTTTCTCTCATTTTTCTAAATCTTGGGAGAAAAAATACATTTCCTGCCTAAACCTCTCCTACCATATTTATATCTATTCATTTTGTCAGAGAACTGTATTTGACAATCTGCATGTATACCAGTAATCTGTGACCTTGCAAGCAGAAGTAATGGTGAGAAAGGTCACAAATGAAATTTCCCAGAGGGAATGGGAGACCCTGAAAATAAAGTCTGTCTGATGGGTATCAAGCTCAAAGTCTTCCAGACAGAATCACACATTTCTGTGTCAACACAAGTTAGCCTAGAGGGCAGGACCACAGGCTGGGAACCCAGGACCAAGGATTTGTTTTTTAGGTCTGTTACACATCAAATCTCCAAATACGTTGGCTTTCCCGCTTATTAAAAAGGACAGTTCTTACAATAAAGCCACTTATCAATTACTCTTGGTGACCAGTACAGCACAAGACAGGTGTCAACTGATAATTCAGTATCATATCACCACTTTGGCAAAATACCAGGCCAGTAATGCTGATATCCTGAAAATTGTGCTGAGCAGCATTGGCCCTATCTCTCTCATACCCTCAGATAATGAGTTTGGAGAAGCAAATGGTCAAGGAAGTCTTTTTCAAGAGTGGGAAAGGAAAAAGAAAGTCCAGTCTGAGCAATCCATAATTCAAAGAGTTAGAAGCTGGGGGGGGGGGTGTCTAACCTGCAGCCCATGAGTTAGACATCCTCATTTTAAAACAAAAAATAGTTTTTAAAAAGTAAATTTTGCCACCTGCATATATTGTGTTTTATATGCAGCCAAAGATTCCTCTTCACTCAGTGAGACCCAGGCAAGCCAGGTCATAGACACAGATTCACATTTCCTTCCTATAATCTCTGGGGAATTTCAGAGCCCCTTCTTCACTCCCAATACAGATGCTACTGTGACTCTTCTAAAAGCAAGTGCTCACCTTCTGCTCTCTGCTAAGGGTAAGAGAAAGTGGTTTTCTACTCAGGAAAGGATCAGATGAGGGGGCACAGATTGTAGCTCTTTGCAAGGTACCCTCTGCCTTCCTGGCTGTTCATGTGACTCTAGAGACCAGTGAAAGCTGCTGCCAAAGCTTTGGTACCTGCTGCTGAGTGGGCATCCCAGCTGGAGCCAGCTCCATGACTCTAGCTGACAGCTCAGCCTGAATACTGTCCATACCATCGTACTGTTGACCTCGATGAAGAGCCACTGTGATCAGCCTCCTGAAGCCTGCACTGGCTGCCAGCTGCTTCCGGCCCTCCTCCATGCCAAACAGCCACTCAGTCTCCCGGCCCTGGGGAACTGGAAAAGACACACCTGGTTACAAGGAGTCACGCGAAGTGTTCATGCCTCCACAATCATTATGGTCCACCTGGCAGAAAGCTGGACTTACCCAGGACCAGCATCTTCCTTGCCTGTGACCCACTTAGGGGCTATCAATTCCTAGCACAATTACACCCAGCAAAGCTGCCCATCAGACATGGGGGACAGGCATGTGACTGTGTCTATAAAGCAAAGGAAGCAAGCACTTAATGTGCGACAAACAGTCATAACAGTAAAACTTATTACGTGCCAGTCATGATTCCAAGTTGTTTACAAACAAACTAGTAGACTCCTCCCAAAAACGCAAGATGCAGGTAACATTACTATTCTATTTTACAAAAGAAGAAAGAAGACACAGAAGTTACATTATTCACCCGAGTTCACAAAGCTAGTAAATGGCAAAGCTGGGACTCAAACTCAAGCAGTTCAGTCCCAGGTTCCACATTCATATTCACTGTGCTTTTCAATCCCACAGGCGGGATTGCAAAACACTTAGAGAAATGGCTTGGTCGTCAGGAAACTAATTACTTGGATGATCGTAACATTTTGCATTTGTATAGAACTTTCTATGTTTGAAAGCACTTCCTCACCCAATCTCTTGATCCTTATTTTATATCTAGTATCCTTTATTCCTTTCAGTAATAGATCTAACATTTATAAAGCACTGAACACATATCAGGAACCATTTCTAAGAGATTTCACACTTCTCACAATTACAGAAGAGTGTCACAATCTCATTTTATAGATGACGAAACTGAGGCACAGAAAGACATGTAACTTGTTCTGTATCACGCCACCTGAAGTAACTAAGCCATGACTGGAACCAATAGCTGGGTTCTCTTTTCCAGCTGCTACCTTGTGCTGCCTCCCTAACTTCCAGACAAACACAGCAACTCTCCCAGATCCCTCAGCACAGAAGTTAGAGCTGTGACTACAACTCCCTGAGGGGCCAGCTAATTCAGCACTGCTTCCATTATCCAATGGCATAGGAACTGACATCTCTGAAATAACTAACTTTACTCTCTTCCCTACCAACACCATTGCAATGGAAGGTGAGGAGGAATAAGACTTAAATCCAAGCAGGGTCATGGAAAACTATTCCTTTCACTTCACCATGCCTTGGCTGATCTAGCTCTCTGGAAGTACCACCCTCTGAAGGCAAAAACAACCAAGACACACCCATCCACCAAAGCCCATGTCCAGCCCCTCCGAGGAAGAGAGGCAGCAGCAATCCCAACTCACTGATGAAAATGGCAAAATGATTGTCCCGCGATGGTTTCACAGTGGGGCTGTCCACCACGTGGAGGGTGTAGCGTGGCTCCCCCGTGTCCCCACTGCACAAGTCCAGAGACACACTCCCCAGCCCGGCCTTGCGGCGAAGCTGGCCACATAGCCAGGCATACTGCTGCCGCTCCCGCACGGCCTCTGCCAGCTGCTCAGCACTTTCCAGCCGCACGGGCTTGCCCTGCTCCTGAGCACACAGCTCAAAGATCTGAAGGCCAGAGCCAGGGACTGGTCTGAACTTGGTCATGATGAAGGCAAAAACAGGCAGGGAGAAGCGAGGCTCTGATTCCAACATCAAGTCCTGGCAGTCAGCCACTTGGTGCACCCTTACCATCCACCCCTCCCGAGAGAAGTGACCCACTGCTTTCTTCAGGATGTGAGCCTGAGCCAGGGAGATGCAGAGGTAGCGACCGCCCACCTGCAGGACACGGCCAACCTCAGCCAGCATCCTGTCCACCAGCTGCAGGGTCCTCTCCTCCTCATCTGTCAGGACAGCATCCAGGGTGCCTTTGTCCAACACCACTTGGAACGAGGCATCCGGAAACTCCATCTGTGTCATGTCCATCTTTAAGAAGCTCATCTGGGGTCGTCGGCTGGCATTGCGTTCCTTCATTTGCTTGATGACAACCTCACTGATGTCAATGTTCACTATATCCTGATAGCCCACATCATACAGCTGCTCGCTCAGCTCTGAGTTGCCACAACCAATCACCAGCACCTGGGGGAAAACATCAGGAGCAAGATGGAGATAATCAAGGCAAAGAAATGCACTTCTGACACTTTAAAAAAGACTCGCCCTAGGCACTGCCTGCTTTCCAAAGGTGGAGAGATGCTACTGTCAGGTAGCAACATCATGGTTGATGTCAGACTCCACTTGAAACACCACGGGTTAAAGATTTATTAGTGAAAACCGGCTGGCTACAAAACAGGTTATGTGCTTTGAAGTGGTGAAACGAATCAAACAGTCCTTTTCTCTGAAACAAGTATGCATTAATAAGTTACAGAATTCAAACACAGTAGCTACAGTTAAAAATCTCCTGCATTCCTCTTAGAAACTTAGGCCTGGCATGAGCCCCAATTCCTCTATTCACTCATGCCTTTGCTTCACTAGACAATGAACTGCATTTGGGAGGTTTCACATCTTACTCCCACCATAATTCCATTCCACCACATTAAGCTATCCTAAAGTCAAACTTAAAAGGTTATTGCCTCCCTCTATGTGAAGCAATCTCTCATTCATCTACAGAATTCTGCTCTGATGTCTCCACCTCTGGAAAAGCATAGTTTAAGAAATTCATAAACCTTCTCCCCCACCCACCCAGCCACCCAAAAAGCACATAAGCTATGGTGCCAGGTAAGCCTGAATTTAAATCTCCATGAGACTTCCTATATGCCTACACACCGACATCCTTGTGAACTATTCTCTTGAGTTCATAAAATTTAAAAGACTGCACATAGAAGAAAACACCCAGCAGGAGGCTTCGCATAAGCTTTCTCTTTTAAAAAATTGTCTTTTGCGGGGCGTGGAGGCTCATGCCTGTAATCCCAGCACTCGGGAGGCTGAGGTGGGAGGATCGTTGTGAGTTCGAGACCAACCTGGGCTACAAAGTGAGCTCAAGGCCAGCCTGAACTGCTAGAGCGAGATCCTGTCTCAAAAAGACCCCCCCCCCCAAAAAAAACCTGTCTTTTTTTTTTACCTTGCACACTTCACCTCTACGAGATCTATGACAGCCTTCTCACTTCTGGAACGTCTGCAGGAATTCTATCTTAAATCTCCCGTAGCTGAAGGGCTGAACATAGCACCTGAAACTCAGTGAGCGCGCCACAACACTGAACAAACACACATCGCTGAGGCCACGCATGCTATCCACCCCAAGGAATGCGCGAGGACAGAAGAGCATACTTTCAGCACTGGGCTACTAAGGATTCATTATCGCAAGAATGGTTATTAATTTGAGGATGCCCTGAGGCGAGATCTTTTAATTGAAAATCTGTAAGGGACTAATTTAACGCTGTCTCTTGGCCAGAACGAGGCATGGAATCCCGAAAGTGCGAGTCCCACCATGGAGGGTCCCCAGGTCTGCGGGCCCACCGAGTGCAGGGTACCGTAAACAGTCCCCGCCTCCCCGAGCACCCGCACGGGCCCCGGCCGAGACCCTTACCTTCTCCCTAGGCTTGATGTACTTGTGCAGCACTCCGCACAGTTCCAGGTAGGTCCCATACCACTCGAAAGCCTGTTTTCCTCGCTGCTGGAAGAACTTCTCCCAGTAGTCAACAGAGCCAAAATCCTTGGAGCTTTTAGGTAGGAGATTCATATTCTCTTTGCCCAAGGGGCGAGTTCCACAACTATTCCCTGTGAGGTAGCATCCGACCGACTATTCTAGTCACTAACAGACCCATCGATGTGGGCCCCCACTCGACACCCGAAGGAACGACCCCGAGTAGGCAAACGCACGCGAGCCACTGAACTTAATTCACATGCCCACAGCCTCCTTAGGGTCCTCACGTGTGGAAAGCCTCACGTGTGGAAAGCCGCACCCCGGTGCTGAGCTAGCTTTCAGAACCCGCAAGCACATCCGGGTGTGAGGCCTCGTGATTGGGCAGCCGCCTAGCTTTTATTCGTCCCCGCTCTTTGTTCCTGACCTCTCATTGGCCGAGAAGCGTTCGCCCCCGTCTGACCGTAGCGACTCAGCGCAGACAGTTCTGTCTACGTGAGGCAAAGGGGGCGGGACCTCGGGGCCGCAGTCCCAGAGAAAAGGGCCGGCTCCTTGACCCTGCTTCCTAGCGGCGCCGCGCAGGGGCGGCCTTTCCGAGTCTGCACTGCGCAGGCGCAGCGGAGAGTCTCTTTCTCCCCTCCCCTCCTCCCCTCCTCTCCCCCACCCCCACCCCGAACGTGGCGGGCTTGTTGTCTGGCACGGCCTGGAGGTGGACGGAAGGAGGACAGGGAGCTTTGCTGCTCCGAAGGATGTGATCTCAGAAGTAAAGCCAGTCCTTCCTACAGGACGGCCGGCGCGGTCTGCGTTATCTTCTGCATTCCCCTCCCCAGCCCTGTTTTGCCAGTCCTTGTTTGTCCCCGGCTGAATTTTGAGGGAAATGGTCTTGGTTGTACTTTGCTGCGAAATACAGGATTCCACTCCCAATAGTGTAATTAGAACAATTAAGGAGAAAACAGTAACTATTAGGTATCCAGAGTGCTGGCCTCGTCAGTTTCTCATTTTGATGCCATCCATAGGTGCTGATTTTGTGTTTGATAAACATACTGTCCTTTAAGATGTGCGTTTTGGGGGCTGGGGATTTAGCTCAGCGGCATAAGCACCTGCCTTGCAAGCAGGTGGTAGTGAGTTCAATCCCCGGTAACGATAAAAAGATTAAAAAAAGAAAAAAAAAAAAACTAGCAATTTTAGGGGCTGGGGATTTAGCTCAGCAGCATAAGGGCCTGCCTTGCAAGCAGGCAGTCGTGAGTTCGATCCCTGGTACCAATAAAAAAAAGAAAAAGACAAAAAAAAAATGCGTTTTATGCTAAAATCTTGAGAAAGTTCCTTGTGACCGGTCCTGTTTTAATTTAAAAGACTATGACTTTAGGCCCTTCACAATAAAATGAGGGCAGAAGATTTAGTACTGCAAGTAACAGCACCAGCACAGATGCTCATATAGTCACTGTTAATAGTTAAATAGGTTAAAGTGGACTTAAACTGGCCGAGGATTTAACTCAGCGCCATAAGTGCCTACCTGGCAAGCGCAGGTAGTGAGTGCAATCTCCGGTACCAGTACCGAAAAAGGCTGAAGTGGGAGGATCCTTGCGAGTTCGAGACCAGTCTAGACTACAAAGTGAGCTCAAGGCAGCTTGAACTGCATAGCGAGACCCATGTCAAAAAAAGATTAAAAAAAAAAAAAGTGGACTTAAACTTTAGCTTAAAAGGTGGTACAAAAACTTTGGCGTGCCGCAAAATCACCTGCAGGATTTCTTTTTAAAAGATGCTGTCACCCCACCACCACCACCACCTGATGCTTCTTATCAGTAGTAAAACCCAAGGATTTGTGTTACTAACAAGTTGCTTGGTGATGTTAATGATGCTGGACCAGGACCACACTTTGAGAATGGTTTTAAAATATGATTAAGAGGTAAGTCAAAATGGACATGATTCTAGCTTCACAATTTTAAGAGGTTAAATCAAGTAACAGCTGTTTCATGCTCCATTTGCTTATTTCACATTGTTTCCTTCTCTACCCAAGATGCGGAGAACTGGAAGGAGCCTTTAAGGCCTCCGACTTGTGGCCTTGGGAACTGTAAGATGGTAAACTTGCATTGTTTGTGGTACTAAGTTTTGTGATTTATCACAGTAGCAATAAATCCCTAATGCAGAGCATAAACATGAAGGATAAGCAGCATGTGTAGTTGAGGTAGGAGTTTACAGTAGTGAGAAAGCAATAAAGGAACAGAAACCTAAGTTAAAGGGCTGCTTTTGTGGACTCTTCTATTCCAGACATTTAGCTTAAACCCATCAAGTCATAAAAAGCCAATGAAAAACCAGAACATGATAATTGGAAAGAAATGATCTGAGACCTTTTCTTGGAAAGGAATAAAGTATTTGATGACTGATTGAACATAAGGAATAAAAAACAGAAGGTCTCAAAATGGTTCTTACATTAACCTCTGGAAGACTGGGGAACTAATCCATAGAGAGAACAGGTGGAAGGGGAGAGAACTGGTACCTGAAAGGTGTTCAGAGGTCCTTGGACCTGTAAAACCCAGAGCCAGAGGTGAAAGCTGATCTCCCCACACCCTGCATGCCAGGGTTCATGCCCTTCTTGCATTTCACCAGTGGAATCCAGTTGGAATTATTCATCTAATAAATGAAAATACTTCATGAATGGGGTATGAAATTTGGTAAAGGGAACCTCCTTGGTGTTACAGGGAATGACTCATGTAATACTGGAAACTATGTCATCCTGGCAGTCTTTACAAATGGACTTGTTTTCTACATTTCAAAAGTTAATAAACGGTCTCCTGTGTCTTGGAATAGTGGAAGGCAGGCATGATAACCTTGGATAATATTATACTATTTTATTAGCTGGATGTCAACACTTTCTTGAAGATATTGTTGATGCAAGAAGCGATTCTCAAGCTTATATCAGATTCCTAAAATAGGGATAATAGTCATAACAGTCATTTTTTAAGTTTATATAGTATTGTTATTTACTATGCATTTTTTCATAAGTCACTTAGAATTCATAGCAAAGTGATTCAGAGATACGTAAATTTTCATAATTTTCACATTGGCAAAGATGACTGCTTTAATGGGAAGAATGTTAATATCATAAAAGATTAATTATTCTAGGTGATTACACACTGGTTTCTCAAATATATATATATATATATATATAAATGAGTCAAAACCCCAATTGATTGAAAGTAAATGAAAAAGTTACCATTGTGGGGGCTGGGGGTTTAGCTCAGCGGCATAAGTGCCTGCCTTGAAAGCAGGCAGTCGTGAGTTCGATCCCTGGTACCGATAAAAATGAAAAACACCAAAAAAAAAAAAATTAAAAAAAAAAAAAAAAAGTTACCATTGTGACTGAATTGAGGCCTAACTGCTTCTGGGTATTATATTTGATTCCTAGGATTTTCTTTGTTCAGTAATTTAGTCTGTCACCAAAGATAGCTAAGGTTTTCTCATATGCATGGACTGCAGGGCATTTATATCCATATTGATTGGGAGGGAGAATAAAGGATATATCCTATGTAGCAAGTTACTTGGCTTTGGGAGAGTGGGCAGTAATATTTTGAAAGTTAGGAGGCCAGGAGTTGAGGGGGTGGTGCCCAGGCGAATATCCTATATCGGACCCCTACATGAAGAAGGTTCACAAGATCTTCTTTTGGATCCCATGTGCATCCTGGGTACTGGGAAAGATTACAGTGATAAACTATTATAATGTGTTCACCATAATTTTATTCTAAACTTCAGTTCCTTTAAAAGGAAAGAGAAAAAAGACCTTTAAAACAACTTGTTTTTCTGCTACACTCTAGTACTTGGCATTCTCAACCATGAGCGTCTCATATATCCCTGGTTTTTTTCTTTTGGAGGACGGAGCAATCTCTGTCTTCAGCCCATAACAAAATATTTCTACCACCAAGGGGATGGATTTTAAAACAAAATTTAATAAATCCATTAAAGTACTCCACCCAGTATATTTAACATTCAGTTCCAGAGTACCTAGAGAAACAAGAAGAACAAAATACCCCTATGTCTAGCAAAGAAGTTAATGTATTTCACCTCTAAAACTAACACTCTTCGTTTGCAATGGGGATACAATTCCTTTCCTAAGAGTAGTCACAAACTATGGTGCCAAAAGTTTACTCTTCTGAGCGCATCTCATCTTTGAATTGTGTATCTTTACCCTTATTGTTTTCATACCTGGTAGGGAAAGTTTTTCTCAATCTATAGAAGTTTCATTCAGTGTTGCTGTGTGAACACTCAGCAGAGAAATATCTTCAAGGAATATGTGTGCATATTTCTGGAGATAGCTGGCAGGAGAAGAGACCCTTGGCTAAAAAGAACCTGAGATTCAGATCAGAAATATCTGCTTTCTCCTTGTGAATTTTGTGTCAGACTTCCTGACTTCAGCTTTGCATTATTTGCTTCCTCCCTTGCCCACCACAATCCACTTATTACCCAATACCCAAGGTTTTAAAAAACAACAGCATTCTTAAAATTGAAATACAGTAACATAAAATGCATCGATTAATGGTGCACTTCCATGGTTTTTTAATATGCTTTTAATGCAGTTCTTGATAACCAATACCACTGATTCCAAAACATTTTTATAATCTCAGAAAGAAGCTCCCTACATATTAGCAGATACTTCCATTTTCTCCTTCTCCTCTCCTCTCTGCTTTCTGTTACTTGCCTACTTTCTGTCTATTTGCTTATTCTGCATGTTTCATATAAACAGAATCAGGTACACATGATCTTTTATGATTTTGCTTCTTTCACTTAGCATATTTTCAAGGTTCATCCATGATGTATCATGTAATAGTACTTCCTTTTTATTGCCAAATAATATGTCATTGTTTGGATAAGTACAGTTAGTATGTCCTTTCATCAAGAAATGGGCATTGGGTTGTTACTACTTTTTGGCTATTACAAATAATACTACTGTGATCATTCATATACAAATAGTGATATGAACATTTATTTTAAGCTACCTATGATACATACCTAGGAATGAGATCGATGAATCATAGGATAAATCAGTATAATTATATGCGTATTGTTTAGGGTTCTGTAGAACAGAATCATATATATATATATACATATATATATATATATATATATGGAGATGAATTACATAGGCATATAGGATTAGAGGTAGTGTGTCATTCATAATGGCAAACTGCACACTGAAAGCCAGAGGATCCTGTAGGTGTTCAGTCCCAGATAGAAGCCACAGAACAAGAGAGATCATAGGTACAGTGCCATTCCGAGACTGAAGGCTTGGAAATTCCCTGGAGAGTCCCTTCTGTGAGTCTACGTTGAATGATTGAAGAAGCTGGAGTCGGATGTCCACAAGCAATGACAGTAGGTAGCTAACACCCA